AGCTAAGGGAGAATCAACTATATGCTAAATTCAGTAAATACCAGTTTTGGCTGAATCAGGTGTCATGCTTGGGACACGTGATATCAGCTCAGGGTATTCTTGTAAATCCTTAGAAAATAGCAGCAGTGAAAATTTGGGAGCAACCATAGATTGTCACTGAAGTACAGATTTTTCTTGGTCTTGCTGGTTACTATCGACGCTTTGTGAAAGATTTCTCAGCCATAGCACTGCCTCTGACAAGGTTGACCAGGAAAGGAGTTAGATTCGAATTGAATGATGATTGTGAACGGAATTTTCAATAGTTGAAGTATTGTTTCTGTCATGCACCTGTGTTGGCACTTCCCGATGACAGTGGGAAATTCAAGATCTACAATGACGCTCTTTGAATGGTTTGGGTTGTGTGCTGATTCAATATGGAAAAGTGATCACATATGCTTCATGACAATTAAAGCCCTATGAAATGAACTACTCTACTCATGATCTTGAATTGGCAGATATTGTTTTCGCTCTAAAAGTTTGGTGGCACTATCTTTATGAGGAAACGTGTCAAATCTTCACTGACCATAAAAGCCTCAAGTATATCTTTACTAAAAAAGAACTTAATCTTCGGCAGCGTGAATGGATGGAATTGATCAGCGATTATGACTGCACTATTGAATATCACCCTAGCAGTACGAATACTGTACCAAATGCTCTCAGCAGGAAATCTCACAGTCGACTCAATACTCTTTATGCATGTCATGTTCCTCTTCTGATCGATCTAAGATCTAATGGAACTGTTTTGGGTGTGAATCACCAAGAAGCCCTACTAGCCAACTTTCAAGTCAGACCATTTTTATTAGATCGTGTTCTCGAAGTTCAAATGAATGACTCAGAATCCCAGGAGTTAAAGCAAGCAGTTTTGAATGGCAATATAGGAGATCTTAGAATTCGGAGACGTGATGGCATGTACCGAATGTATGTAACGAATGTGGAAGAATTGAAGAAAGAAATTCTCGATGAAGCACATATCTCAGTTTATGCAATGCACCCCAGGAGTACTAAAATGTATTATACACTCCGACCTTTCTACTACTGGCTAGGAATGAAAAGAGAAATTGCTGCGTACGTGAGTCTCGATTTGTCAGCAAGTCAAAGCGGAAAGAAAGAAACCATTCGGGCTACTACAACCACTTCCTATACCCCAGTGGAAATGGGAAGATATCACGATGAATTTCGTGTACAAGTTGCCTTGTACGTGTAATGGCTATGACGATATCTGGGTAATTGTTGACCAGCTTACCAAGTCAGCGTATTTCTTACCTGTTCGTGAAAACTACTCGCTAAGTTCGTTGGCCGAACTTTTCGTCTCTGAAATTACCAAGTATCATGATGTTCTAGTTAGTATTATTTCTGATTAGGACCCCAAATTTACTTCAAAATTTTGGGTAGCTTTTCAAGAAGCTCTAGGTTCGAAATTACTCTACAGTATCGCCTATTATCCCCAGATCGACGGACAATTCCAGAGAACTATCCAAATGCTAGAAGACATACTGAGATCTTCAGTCTTGCAATTCGAAGACGAATGGCACAAGCGCTTACCTTTGATAGAATTCGCCTACAACAATAGCTTTCACTCCAGCATTGGTATGTCACCATTTAAGGTGCTATATGGGAAACCTTGTCGTACACCACTGTGTTGGTCCGAAGTCGACGAAAGGGTTTTGGTGGGCCCTGAAATTGTAGATGAGACGACATAGAATATCCAAATGATAAAGGGCAATCTGAAGGCAGCACAGGATCCACAAAAGAGTATAGCAGACAAACATTCGACACACAGGGTATATGCGGTGGGAGATTGGGTATTCTTAAAGTTGTCACCATGGAAGGGTGTTGTACGTTTCGAGAAGAAAAGAAAGCTAAGCCCCTATTACATTGGGCCATATCAGATCATTGAACGAGTCGGTGAAGTTACTTACCAACTTGATCTACCTCCAGAATTGTCAAGAGTGCATAATGTGTTCCACGTGTCCATGCTACGGAGATACGTCTCTGATCCGTCACATATGATTCCTCTTCAGCCGTTAGAGATTAACCCAGATTTGACTTGTGATGAAGTTCCAGTGACGATTATTGACTGGAAAGAGAAAGTTCCCATTAACAAAACCGTTCGTATTGTAAAAGTCTTATGGAGAAACTACTCTGTTGAGGAAGCTACCTGGGAGACAGAGGGGCGTATGCGAGATCTTTATCCATGTTTGTTCTTTAATTATGATCTTCAATAGTGTTGAAATTTCAGGGACGAAATTTTCTTAAAGAGGGTAGGTTGTGACAACTCATCCCTAATTTTCCATGTAATTTCATTCCTGAGTGTGTAAAATGATGTTTATGCCCTTATTGGCAAAGTGGAACCTGACGTGGACGTAGTTCATTTATTTGGAATAAATAAACTACTTGCTAGTTTTCCCGCTCTTTTTGGAAAACAATTAGCCAAAATTACTATGAATTTTTGTAAGTTTTTGGTTGCAGAATAATACTGAATCACGTGGTTATAATTTCACGCTGAATGCATCGTTTGATGACATTGATTTTAACAACTACGATGGACTAGTAATACTAAGAGGGCGATCTCCTGAGTATCTTGCTATGGATGCATCGGTTGTAGAATTGGTGAGAAAGTTTTCTAACTCCAAAAAGCCAGTTGCTGCTACTTGTCATGGTTTATTGGTCCTAGCAGCTGCAGACTCGATTAGAGGGCGGAAGTGCACAGGGTTTCCGCCTGTGAGACTTGTATTGGTTGCTGCTGAGGCTCACAGGGTAGAAACTAAGGACACGTCGTCATGTGTTTCTGGGGTTACATATGAAGGTAATCCCGAGTTCATTAGCCATTTTGTGAAGGCACTGGGGGTCAACATAACTGGTTCGGATAGAAGGATCTTGTTTCTCTGTAGGGTAAGTTGTGTTTTCATTTATTAATCTTTAACGTCATAAATTAAGACCGTAACATTATGCTTCACGTTATTTAACTTATTTATATGTAGGACTTCATGAAAGATTATGAGATAACTGTGCCTTTTCAATCCCTTTAAGCTCTGGGATGCGATGTCAATGCAGTTTGCCCCAAAAGGAAGCCAGTGATATCTGCGCCACTGCTGTCCATGATTTTGAAGGGGACCAAACCTAAAGTGAGAAACCAGGCCATATTTCATTTTAACAACTGACCTTTGACGCTCTAGATGTCTCAAGTTATGATGCTCTTGTAATCCATGGAGGTCAAGCTCCAAAGTATTTGGCACTGAATGAGAATATCATTGCGGTAGTGAAACAAATTATGGAAGCCGGGAAGCCAGTTGCATCCCTCAGTCATTACGGTGGTGAAATAGATTTTAGTTGCTACTGGTGTTTTGCAGGTGTGGTTATTGACATAAGCTTTCATTTAAAATGCAATTTCCGCATTAGCAGCCAGACTTTTGTTTCCTGAAATTCGATCGAAATTTCCGTTCTTTTGATTAGTGGTTAATATACTTAATTTCACGCTCTATTAGCATGTCATAAATGTTTTAGTTGGCCACATTTCAGGGAAAGAAATGTACTGCATACCCAGTAGTGAAGCTCAATGTGATTCTGTCGGGTGCGACATAGTTGGAACCTAATCCCATAGATAGCTGCTTCACTGACGGAAATCTGGTCGCAGCAACTGGGTGGCATCATTCTACGTCCAGTTCCACTGTCCTAGGTTAGTTGTCATGTAATATATGTAAAATGCGTCACAAATGTTTAAGGTGCCTTCATCATCCCCCACCTTTTAATGAATCAGGATTTTTCACTTGAGCCACTGGAAGAGGAGTTTAATTTAGCAAAAGGAATATTGTTTGGACCTAAAATTATTGGGTTAGGCCGAGTATGGAATTGTTATCGGCCCAGAAGCTCTGTTCGAGGATTTCTACAAACCAGCCTATTCATCGGCCGCCTAACTAAAAGTCGGCCAAGCCCCGTTTGGAAAAGAATATTCCAGATGAATAGGAAGTAGGTGGGCCCTATTGCGAAGTAGATGAATGAAGTGGTTAAGTCCTGATGCAGTAACGATTCTCACCAGATAAGGATATCGAAAAGTGGAAATGAATGTGGCCTAGTAAGAGGTTAAATTCAAAATCCTAATAGAAGTGGGATTGGCCGAGATAAGATGGATTGGGGTAAGGAGTCCTAGTTCGAGTACGGTTAGGATTGGGTTTTGCTGCTATAAATAGAGAAATGAGGGTGCAATTCAAGGACCTCTAATTCAACACACAACTGCCCTGCGCAAAACCTCTCAAACATCTTGAGATTTTTTTATTTTCTTTTTTCCCGCCGACACATCTTTAGTTTGGATAAACAGCACTGTGAAGGCAACCGGCGAACACCTTCAGTTTAGATAAACAACACTGTTGCTGTAGAATCAGCCGACCGAGGAGCACCTTCAGTTTGGATAAACAGCACTATGTCAAGGCCGACTGGTTACCTATCCAAGTCTCGGTTGAGAAGGGTTTCCGAATCCTTATTGGCAGAGGTCATCTTATTAGCCTTTTCGACGAAGTAAGGTGTTACGAGTTACGACATTCGGCACATTAAACGCCGAGTGGTTTTATGATTGGATACTCCCAAGTGAGTTTCAGAATTCGGCATTATGAGGGCCGAACCACATTTACCATCAAGACACACATTACCTTTGAATACTTGTGTCCATATAGTTTGGTGTCGATTCGACATGCTTATACTCTCACGAATATAATCATCGTGACTGAATCCGACGCCGACAATTCATGAACTTCGCAGAACTAGCAGCCTTGTCTTCAGGCTCGAGAATCCAAAGGCTGAGATTTGTTCTTTCCTCAGCCGCAGTCGCAAGATAAAAAAGTCAGCAACGCGCTCAACGCAAGATCAACAAACTTTACTCCTCTGCGCGCCACGTAGGCTTTGTAATTTTTAGGGTCAACAAATATATACTTGTTGGTAGTAGCTCTCCCCGACATTCTCCACTTCACTTTTATGTAAATAATATAGTTTTATTAGTTATAAACATGAAGAACAAACAAACGTGCTCTACAAGACAACCAAGTGTGAACATAAAACATAAACTCCTGAAGCTATGTATCTTAAAAACTTCATAGTATTGAAGAGAAACAAATTACAAAATCAAAGCCCGAAACACCAAATAAAGTAAAAATCGAAGAAAACTTTCAAATTTTTATGTACAAGAGTTGCAATATTGGACTCCATTCCCAATAGGTTAGCATTTAACGACCTGAAAGTTGAGAAGTAGATGCAGTGGCATTCGATGTGGAAGAACCATTAGAGGTTGATGTCTCTCCCTGGACTTTCTTATCAGAATCGATAAATACCGGCCTAGTAAGCGACCTATTTTCCAAATAGTTTGTGCCTTTGAGTAAAACAACAATTTCAGACATTGTAGGCCTCAGAGCAGGTGATGATTGAGTGCACATCAAAGCAATCTCTATGATTTTTTTCACATCTTCTGTTTTATAATCATTTGGGTCCAGGGTTGCATCGACCAACTCCACGTGCGAGCCATTCTCATACAGTTTCCATGCCTAGTCAATAAATTGTGAAAAAAAGTAAAAAATTTACTAAACAGATGTAAGCAACACGTGATCCATTTCTGAATCTCAATGGAATCTGAGAGAAGATATAATATAGAGTTTGGAAGTTACCTTTTCAAGTAGAAATTCACCCATAGCATCGGATTTAACTTCACTGCTCCTTTGGCCACTTATGATTTCAAGGACAACCACGCCGTAGCTATAGGTATCCGCCTTTTCTGACAATTGGCCATGAATTGCATATTCAGGTGCCGTGTATCCCCTGTCACACAAGATGGAATTGTTAAGTTGCTCTAGTGTACCGGCCCTACATAGTAGATTCATAACATTTCTGTTTATGGACAGAAAATGTGAGTAGGTTAATAGACCGGTATCAATATGGGTGTAACTTGCAGAAGAATCCCGAATTAGCATAGTGCCAAAGGCGGAAAAATGAGGTTCAATAATCCCAAAACCTGCAGGGTTTGATGCTTGGTGGGAAGTGAAGTAACTTACAATGTTCCTGCAAATCTGGTACTGAGATGAGTCTTATCATCTGGTAAAAGCCTTGCCAGCCCAAAATCTGCAATTCTTGGCTGGAAACTATCATCCAAAAGGATGTTGCTGGTTTTTATATCTCGATGTATGATGCATACATGGAACTCCTCATGTAAATAGGCGAGACCCCGAGCTGTGCCGATGATTATATCAGTTCTTTGTTTCCAGTTGAGAGAGCCTTTTCTTGGACCTATTTCCCATACAGAATTATGTCTTTAAATGAACTGCTTAAAATAAAATTCATATATGTTGGGAGTATATATGTGTATGCATATCTATACATGCATTTATGCAGTTCCTTATCATAAATTTAGAGCTAGCTGGGCTAAAAGGCCTAAAATTACCAAATAGGAATCTGTCGAGGCTGCTGTTTGCCATGTATTCATATATGAGAAGTAACTCTGGTCCTTTGCTACAACATCCAAGAAGACGAATAAGATTGCGGTGATGAACATTGCTTATAAGCGTGACTTCGTTTTGGAAATTCGCCTTTGCCCTGTCGGATTGAAGTACAGCTAGTTTTTTCACTGCAACTATTTTACCATTGTTTAGAGTTCCCTGTCAAAAGATTAGGTAACATTGAGATTATGTTTTTAGAGGGTGTAATTAGAGAATACTCTATGGAAAACATTCGTGCAGGATCAAAGACTTAACATTACGGATTTCCCTTTTTACGAAAACTTTATGCATGTTTGTATCCGAGGAGAACGGACTGTATTAGACTATACACTGGACTGGACATAGTAGCTGTATTAAACTAGATTGTAGTGTTATTTGAAGACATTTCGAGGTCTTTAGCAGAAGTTAAACATTGTATAGCTCTTTGCTAAGTACGAATGCAATCTAGTTCTAGACAGTGCCAAACAAAGACGACTAGTCTTTATTAACTTCACAAACACAAATACTAACTTGATATACGAGCATAATCATGTCTCTGAATTCTGTATTTTGCTATTTATTTTACCTTGTAAACATCTCCGAATCCTCCTTCTCCTAGTTTGTTTTCTTCACTAAAGTTTTTCGTTGCTGACTTCAAATCTTTGTATTTATAATTCACTGGTCCTTGCAACTCGGTTGCTCCCAATATGTCACCTCTATGATCCGCCATGGGCTTTCTTGAGAGTTTAAAATAGAGAAGAAATCCAACAATGAGAAGAAGACCTCCACCTCCAGCTGCCACTCCAATGATGATGCCTTTCTTTCTTGAATTACCTCCTGCATGTGTTGTTAGGATTATCGAGTTAGTTTGATGAAGGAATGAGTACTGACATGTCATTTGGTGAACAAATTTGACAACCCTAGTAATATTGACATACATATGGAAGGGTGTTCTTACCGCCTTTTAAGAAGGGCGCGATGTTCATAGTCTGATTATCAGAGAAGAAAGAAGTACTAGAGTACCGCAAGAAACAACCTGCGTCAACCGCCCTACCATCGGTATCTGGAAGGCAGCTTTGTAGGTTATTGTATGCCACTTTCAAGCAATCTTGGCAACCGATCTTGCTAACTGTCTCGGCACATTGTGCCACACCGTAGACGGTTACATTTCCGCTACCACCACTACTAACAACTTTGTTCCTAGTTGCTGCAAAGAAACCGTTGATTTTAGGTGTTGCAAGCTGAAGATCTACTAGCAGTGACCCAGCAGCTGCAGTGAATGTAGTGACCTGTGATGCAGTTATATTTCCACAAAGCCCTACATTACCAGGAAGGGTGGTCTGGTCATAGAACCCTGCGCTCTCGTACCTAAACCAAAGCATGTATCAAACTTTAAAATATTTTGTTTGGATAGTCAACATTTAAACCTTAAAACAACAGTCATGGTGGAAATGGTGGTAACCCATCTTTCTAACGTAGGACAAGTATAGGGGTTTCGAGGAAACAAGGATGGAACATGGGAATCATTTAATCAGGACAACGGAATCATTCACGTAGTAATTGTGAATTACTCACATGACAAAGCCAAACACTTAATTTTAGAAAGTTGAAAGTACTCACTCACTTCAATTGCACAAAGAAAATATAATTTTTTTAATTAATCAAGCATGTCTTAAACATATATATTGAGTCCTTTAAATAGAAAGATTACAATATATTGGTAAGATAGATATTTAATAATAGGATTATAGTTACTAGGCACCTAATAAAACATAACTTTGAAATATGAAAAGCCACAGACAATCAAATTTAATATACAAATATTTATTGACGTGCACTTCATCACATTTGATCTGAATCCAACAGTAGAGTACAAATACAACAACAAAAGTTAATTGATCACCCATCATTGGATTAAAACCGAACGGTTGGTGACGACCATTTCTTTGGACCATGAGGTCTAGGAGAACAAGATTGTAAAACAAGTGTATCTGGCCCCTTAAACCCATTGGTCTAGTTTGGTTGGTATATAGGATTTGATTGGGATAGATAACTATTTTTAAGATATGAAAGAAGAAACAAAAAATTTATAGTCAACTTGGAGGTAGGAGATCATTCAATAAGAAAAGTTATCCATTTATCTAATCCTGTTCTAATCTCCTCAAACATTAAAACAAGTGTATCGGCACCTTAAACCCTTTTTGTTTGTTAAGGCATGAGTCTTAAGAGCTAATATATATATATTTTCTGACGCTTATGGTAAACTTTTCTCACCACATGGCTAACCACGAACATTACGAATATTGTTTTCAATTTAATCATTTATTACTAGGTGTGAAAATTGAAATGGTTATCAAACAAACTATTAGTATTAGGTGCATTAATGGAAGGGACTCCTACATTTTTTTTTTCTAAGAATTGTATGAATATTGAACGATTACAAACTATTAGTATTGGAAGCTTTAATGGAAATGACTCTTACAATTTTTTTTTTAACCAAAAGCATTTTAATAATTTTATTTAATAAAAATGACAAAAAAATAAATACAAATGGACTAAGCATAATAAAACCCACTCTTTAGATTTATGTAGGTGTAAAGCATCTCCAAAACATTAACATACACTACTTTTTGCTAAATTTGAAGTGCTACTTAAATATTTTTAGAAAAACTAATAAAAATGGTTTGAAAATTTTGAGTTTTAACGAAAATGACAAAAATAAAGAGTAAAATATATAGTATAATGATTAACTTTTTAATATAAAAATATAATTTTTCATTAAAGTGAATAGTACCAAAAGCTTTTTATTAAAATTCTCAAATTTCTTTGGTCCAACAAAGTTAACAAACTTAATCTTCAAATTTGAGACCTTCGTTTTATTATCTAAATCTAGATACTCTTCAACTCACTTTTCAATTCCATTATTAAAACCTCTCTCTCCTTCATATGTAAAAAAAAAAAAATATATATATCTTCTTTCAAATCTCTCTCTCTCTCCCCTCCATTAAAAGAATAAAATATTGGAATTTTGTTTATTAGTAAAATAAAATATTAAAATTTGTAGAACCTATTGGGATGCAAAACTGTGTAGGAAGTTCCGGTAGGAAAAGGCTCTTTTTTGTGGGATTCGAGAAATCAATCAATTATAATCGTTCATAATACACCGTGCACTCAATTTTCGTTATATATTATTTATATTCAATTTTAAATTTTAGATAATTTCTGACTGTATGATGTACAATGAACGATTGTAATTGATTGATCATCTGGATTCCCACAAAGAGAATTTGGAGAAGATCTTTTTCCGTTCCAGTATTCAAATTGCCACACAGGTCAATAAATATAAATGCAGATGGTCTAAATTATAAGAGTGTTCATAAAAAATGTTATACATCTGTCTAGTCCTAACTCATAATTAGGTTGCATTATTTTAAGTTAATAATGATCCCCACCCCCTTGTACAAACAGAGATGGATTGTCTGTCCTTCCCTTTCCATACCCTCCTTATGCCCTCTTGTTTTGTGCGGTCACGATTAAGCCACGTCAACATTTTATTTTAATTGTTTTTATGAAAATAATAAGATCAAAAGTAAATATTGACGTGGGTTAACCGTGACCGCACAAAATAAGAGGGCATGAGGAAGGCATGGGGTGGGGAGGGCAGACAATCCATCTCTTATACAAACTGGTCAATAACTAAGGACATAGATCCTCTTCAGATCCATGCATCTTAATTTTAAGGATTCATCAATTCAGGTCATTGAAATTCGATCTAACGGCTAAAGTTATTATAACTTTTTAAAATAGGTCTTCTATTTATAGTCATTGCATCAAATTTCAATGGTCTAGATTGATAGATCCCTAAAATTAGAATGCAAGGATTCGGAGAGGATCCATGTAAAATAATTGAAACTTGTTTTGGTCAACCACCATCATTCCAACTTTTTGTTAACCCGATTGGACCAGTTGCGGTAATAGTTGCCCTTTGAAATTTAATTCAACTAAATATATAGTATCTGAATCATATGATATTTTTAACTATTTAGAGCTTGTTTAAAAGTATTTTAAAATGATTGAAAGTGTTTTTAGAAGAAATATTTTTTGGAATTCATCATTAATAAAAATGTAAATAAATCAAGACACAACCTGACACACTCCCACCAAAATCAAGATGTGATTGTAAGATCCCACATCACCCATGGATGTGGATCTTGTCAACCTTATATGTATATTCTCATCTCTAACTAGCACGAGGCCTTTTGGGAGCTCACTGGCTTCAAGTTCCATCGGAACTCCGAAGTTAAGCGAGTTTACACGAGAATAATCCTATGATGGGTGATCCACTGAGAATTTCTCATGTGAGTTCCCAGAAACAAAATCGTGAATGCGTGGTCGGGATCCAAAGCGGACAATATTGTGTTATGATGAAGTTAAGCCTGGAATGTGGTGGGGGCTCAGACCGGGATGTGACACAACCTAATTCACTATAAACATTTCCAAACGAGCCTTTAATTAAACAAATTAACTAGAAAATGCGACTAAATTTATCACAAATATCTGAAATAAGAAAAATAAGTGTGTTTGGTATTTGACTACCTTAGTTCAAGTGGGATGTGTGTGCGCATTAAAAATGTGGGCGCCAGCAGTTTTGGAGTATAAAACCAGGCTGCCAAGACAACGACTATATATTCTCCATCTTATGGACTTTTTTTTCCTTTCTAAAGTCAATGAATCTTATCTATATATAGAGGCGTTATTAGAAGAATCGACAATATTTATTTAAGCAACATGATGTTTAGGACTAAATACAATATGTACTAATATTTCTTTGCTCGAAAAACATGTAATAATATGTTACTTGGTAAGCAATTATTCATTGGTAATTTTAAGATTAAATACTAATACTAATGTTTTGATTTAGGTACGTGTTATAATGTCAACCCTAATAGAAATTTAAGAGAATGGTGTGGAAGTCAACGATACAAACGCCCCTCTATGCTAAACAATTATTTAGACCCTAGTTTATAGTGTTACCAAGTGCCCCAAATAAGGTAATGGCCTAAAACAAACAATAATACCCCTTATACTGTAACTAATTAATATTGGATTCAATATTAAGGATGGAGAAGAAATGGACGTATTTTTAATATTTTAATTCAACTCGTATCAGATTTAAAAATTATGTAACTATTAGTTCTTTGTCGCACTATGTGACCAAGAGAATGACAAACCAAATAAATAGAATAATTTATTATAAAATTTATTTTAAGAGATATTTTGGTTCTAGAAACTCTTAAATAACAGAGTTAGCAGGTATATTAGACTTAAGACTTGATTTAATATTTGGAGTTCGTGTTTCTGTTGATAATTGAATTATTACTCAAGTGTTTATTTCTTGATTGTGACACATAATTTGATTTGCAAATTTAATTTAAAATTTTGATCTTCATACCTTTATCATATTACTAATTGGAATGTTTACTTTTTGTGACAAGTAAAGTGTACCTGAGGAAGCAACCATCATAGATGACACGACCACCGTTGGCAGCGGAGCAGTTGCGAATTTGAGACACGGCAGCAGTGAAGCAAGCAACGCAGTCAGCAGCGGAGAGGTAGTTCCTACACTGCACCATAGCGTAAACAGGGTTGGAACCCCTGACCTGCTGTGCCGTCGCAAAGTGGCTGCCGTTTTCCATCAGTTGCGTTCTGAGGTCCGAAAATGTGGCGTTGAGGTTGGTATAGAACTCGGACGCGTTGGTGGCATTGTATTGGCTGCAGCCCTTGTTTAATAGATTGATCTGTGGGTCTGCATCAACGGCTGTGATGATCAGGCAAGTCCATGGCCACCATAGGGTTGTAATAGTTGCTGCTAATAGCATACACAGCTGATGTATCCTTCTGTTCATCTTCAATAATCTCTGATTATGCCTTACTCTACGATTAAGGACAAAGGATGGCTTCGTTCATCAAAACATAGATATACATAATATGAAGACTGGCGGGTGAGCTAAAGTATATATTAGGGTCAATGGAAGCAAGGACATGCTAAAAGAAAATAAATAAACTGATATATATATATATATATATATATATATATATTTATATCTTATCATCATCATCCATGACTCAATGCATTTGTATCTCTCTCCACTCACTCCACATAAGCGGGCCCTCATCGGATTAGAGGAAGGAACTTACATGTATACTAGTAGGTGCACTTTTCTCACAATTTTTTTATGCTTGCAACTTATTTATCATCGTTAGATGAGTTTAAATTTTAAAATTTATGTCTATCAGCTACATAGTGATGCCCTTCTTACAAGCCTACTATAAGACTTTGTAAAATAATATAAGAATTTACAATATTGGGGTATCACAATAATAATTTCAATTATGCCGGCGAGCAAACTAGACACCAACGAAGGGAGGAGCTGAGTCGGGTCCAAAATATAAAACATATGAGAAAGTGAGTGGCAGATGTACAAGTAATGACATTTATGTAATTTTTATTTAATTTAGATGCATTCGGGTCCTAATTTTTTTGTCAAAATTAGGATAAATTTGCTCTGTATTCCTAAAGTTTGCTCCTTTTTTCGTAACTTCCCAACAGCATTTGCACATCATTGAAAGCAATTCTATTCATAACACATAAGATTAACAATTTCTGTTTATTCACAGTCCAGTCCGGTCCAATGCTGCACAACAAACACAAGATAGAATTCTCACAGTTCAAACTTTAGTCCATAGCTTTGTTTAATCCATGGTGCCAGTATGCCTTTCTTTTTATTTTCTTCTTGTCCAAGTTTCCTTCTTATATGATGTATGTGTATACTGTATATTTAATAATTATGGTGATTTAATTGGGCGTGAACTATGACGAAGGACTACAATATGAGGCGAAGCTACTGTGCCTTGTCCAACAAAGGTGGCAACATCCTTGTGGGCAGCTACTGTGCCTTGTCTTTGTGGGCAGCCAATTGCTGGCAAAAGCTACTGTGCCTTGTCTTTGTGGGCAGCCAATTGCTGGCAAAAGCTACTGTGCCTTGTCCTTGTGGGCACACAAAGACTACTCCTCAGATCATCTCCAATCGAAGGAGGACCAAAGGGTTAGTTTTAACCCTATAACCCTTCAAGAAATTAATAGTTTAATGAACAGTGTCAGACCATATTTCTTACCATCTCTAACCTAGAGGTCAAAGGGTCATTGGCCAAACTTAATCCTGTGACAAAAAACATGTCCAACCGAGAGGGCCAAAGGACCATAGGCCAAACATGATTTATTATTTTAATTGAATTAATATGCTTACTTAATTTAAACTACCTCAATAATTTTTCGAGATGTAATCTTAATAATTTTTCGGATAGGATTTCGAGTGACACGTGTTGATAAGTGAGTAACTTTGCAGATTTCTTGTCGATATAGAATCTCAATAATTTTACGTCTTGGATTTCAAGTGTCACATGTAGAGATGTAATTGGTTGTAGGAATTTTAGAAAGGATTTTTATCTGCATGACTTCTTATCTTCAGCTTCCAATGTCCATAAATAGGGTGGATATTAGGCTGTAATTCAGTCTCTTTCAATTCAACCTCTTTCAATACAAGTTTGCATTGAATTCCAACGTTGGATCCTCTTCAGATTCCAACTGGGGGTCCTCAGCCAATTCCGAATTGGAAGAAAAATGGGCACAGATGAGCCAAGAAGATGAGGAGTCTACTAAAGAAGATGAAGCATGACGCAAAAGAAGCATAAAGTAGACATTTAAGCTTTATGTTGTTAAATTTTTTTTTAATGTTGTTTAAGTTTTAACGTTGTTTAATATTGTTTAATGTTGTTTAATGGCTTAGGTAGTTATAGGGAAGAAAAATTAGAAATTTTAATTTATTTTTTTTTAAATTGTAAAAAAAAAAAAAAAAAAAATCTAATTTAATGGTTAGCTGCCGTTAGCATGACGTCAGCTAGTAGTCGTTAGGCTTCAAATTTTTGGACCAGCCCGGGCTGGCTGGTTTTGGCCAGCTGGTTGGCCCGATTATGCAATTGTGGCCCGGTAAGGCGCACGAACCCTTTAGCCTAGCCTTCAGTTAGAGATGGTTTTCATGTCATTTCAGGTTAATTATCGACCCTCTGGCCGGATCGGCTGGAGATGGCCTCAGTTTCCTAAGCAATGTACAAGAACAAGGCGTTTGATGAATAGTCCCACCTAGGTGAAAGCCTTGAGGCGAGAGGTGAAGCCTCATGAGACTTAATTTTTATACTATATATTATATATTATATATATGTATATATTATAATACTTTGTAAAACAAACATTCATTGTCATTCAAAAGTGCACAAGTTATAAACAAGTATAATTAACTCACATGACCAAGTTTAATCAAGCAATTAAAATAATCAATATTCAAGCATCTACTTGAGTAATGCTTTTATAAATATATATATATATATATATATATATATTATATAACGAGAAAAAGATAAATAAGGATAAATATAAGGGACGTTTTGATATAGGCGCCTCGTTTTTTAATTTTTTAAACTAAACATATACTCTTTTTGAAAATTTGATCAAACATTTTCCTAAAATTTTGGTTATTAATTTCAGTTTTTCACATAAGTTCAATTTTGTTTAGAATTTTAGTTTTTCATGACTTTTCCTAGACATTTCGTTTTCTTTTTCTTTTCTTTTCCTCTTATCCCCATATTTATGCATTTATTATCCATCTCTATGCTTTTTTTTTTATTGTTTGTTATAATTTTACTTTTTTTTTTTTGTGAATATAGTAGAATATTTATAAAAAAAAATTGTCAGATTTTATTATTTAGAAGACCCAACACATAATAAAGATTTGTTTGATTATATATCTATTTCTAGGTACCTATAATATGGACAAATTTAGTTTTATAGTGGATTTAATTTTTTGTATTTCTTGGTACATTTGAAATGTAAATATACCAAAAGGGTTATCTGATAGAGACATTTGGTTTTGTGGTACATTTGTGATTTTTTGTTCATTTGGTCTTTTGGTACATTAGGAATTTAAACGTACCAAAATGGTTACCTGACAATGGGCACATTTGGTTTTATGGTACATTTGAAATTTTGGTACATTTGGTTTCTCTGTACATTTGAAATCTAAATGTACCAAAAAGTACATTTGGTTTTTGGTACATATGGTTGCTCGGTACATTTGAAATCTAAACGTATCAAAAGTCGATACTTTTGTTCTCAAATGTACCATAAGTTTTAAGTATATTTTTTATATATCTATACGTGAAAAAATATGTATTGAAGACTATTATTGAGACATTTTTAATAGAAAGAGATTTTTTTTTTTTTTAAATACTGATAATAAGGTAATGAGGAATTAGTTAATTAATTTTTTATTTTATTTTATTTAAAAAATGTCATTTAATGCATAGAAGGGGATTGACGAAATTAAATTCCTATATTATAGGCAATTAGTTGCTAAGCTACCTTATGCCTCTATATAAATGCATTTAAATTAATGACATGGAAATTAAATAAATAGAAAATTATTGAGGTGACAATTGATCAAAGCATCTTAATCAAATCTTTAAAAGGGATGAATGTTTAATCTAACAACTATATAAAAGATGAAGGGCATTCTAATTTTCCCTAAATATAAAAGACTTAAAAAATATATATAATATAACATTAAAAAATATAATAGAAAGATGTTTTTTCTAGCGGCTAATCATAAGCATATTTAGGAAAATAATAATAATAAAACAGTTATCTAATACTAGCATGCACAAAGTGTGTGAGAAAATTTTTTATTTTTGTTTTTGAAATAGAAGAAGAGAGGAAGCGAGTGATAGAGAATGTGGGAGTGGGAATTTTTTTTTTGTTTTTAATTAGAGATATGTTAGAATTACATGTAGGTGATGTTTTGAAAAAAAAAAAAGCAAAATTTGGTTGTGTGAAATTACACTTCTGCCCCATATTTCTTATTCATGTTTTGTTTTAATTAGAGGGTTAAACTACTAATTTCATAAAGTTTTGGTTGACAATGAGTGTTTTATTAATTAGTAGAGATGTATCTTGTATATGAGGAAATAAATATTAAAAACAAAAATTGAAGAGTAAGGAGATGGTGAGTAATAAATGTCAGTAAGTGAATATAGTGGGGTAATAAATATTAACAAAGTGGGGTAGTTAAAGCTTTAAAGACAAAAATTAAAAATTAAAAGACAAACTCAGCTTAAAAAACCCTAGTTGTCGTCTTCGTCTCATTCATCTCCTTCGATGGTTTCTTGGTCTACAACTCAAAAACAGCCTTGCAACTAAAAGAAATCCAAATTTCTGCAACCTAAAAATGAAAAAAGACGCCCAGTTAACGCCTCAGGCGCCGAGGCGCGCCCCGATGAGCCTAGGCGAGTATTTCGCCCATTCCCAAAAAACAGAGGCGAAAATGGTGCAGCCCCACCTCCAAAGTCACCTAGGCATGCCTATGAGTTTTTTAAAACACTGAGATGTACTCAGTGTTTAGGCAAAGATTTCTCTGGAGAATGATCCTTGGACCTCAGCACAACTCTCCAAGCGATTGGCACTTTGGATGTGTAGTCGGGTTCTTGCTTGCTGATTTACTTCGAGAAAAGGACAGAGTTAGTTCTGAAAGATGCCTTTGTGGGGCCTTAGATGTAGGCCTTGAGGCTCGCAATCAAAACTAACTAAGTGTTAGGCATGTCACTGCTATCTCAGTATAGCAGATATAGAACAAGTAAAGCTCGCAATCAAAACTAACATGTGTCATCATAGGTTATGTTGCCAAGTAATCACCTTCCATTGTGGTAGGTGATCATGTTTAGGACAAAGCATGGCAAATAGAACAAATGTCATGTTTACATAGAAGTTGCTAGGTTCAGGTAAGTCTTTCTTCTTGCCCATAATGTGATCTATAAATTCATCTAACCAGGCTTGTGCTTCTTTTGGCAACATCAGCTCAGGCAACCTTTC